GCGGCGGAAACAGCGGGCAAGTCGGGTGCGGGCGGCGGCACAGAGTGCCACGGAGAGGCCCAATCTGAAGCTGGTACTGGCAGGTCACAGCACCGGATCCGCCAGTAGACGCCGAGCTGCGCGGGCCGCCACCATGGCCACTACCTCCGGAGGTGCCGGGCCAACCAGGCGGGAGATGAGCCCACGGCTGCGGCGGCTGCTGCTGGGACGGCGGCTGCGGCTGGGGCTGCTCCTGCTGCGGAGGGGACTGTGTCTGCTCCTGCCAGCTGGTGGTAGTCCCCTAAGGCGGACTACCGTCACCACCACCACTCCCACCACCACCAGCGCCACCACCCCGACCTCCCTGGCGTCCACGGCCACCGCGACGCGAGCGCTGCTGCGGGTGTACCGCAGCAGCGGTCTCGATAATGGGGGTCGTAGTGGCGACCGCAGCCGAAACGTCAGTGAACGTGCACTGGGAGGGGGCACAGCCGTGAAAGATAGAGACTGCCGGCGCACCGCTCGACTGAGCGATAGTGCGCCGGCGAGTCTCGATCTCGGTGAGGGTGTCGACAAAGGCGGTCAGGGTGAGGTCACCCGGGTGCTGGCTAAGGAAGTGGTCGCGAGCACTAGCTAGGCGGTCCGGCAGGCGCATGGCGATAAAATAGAGCGTCATGCAGAAAGGGTGGGGGAGCGCAGTGAGCTGGGCAGCAGTGCTGGCAGTGCGATAGCGAGTCTCTAGGGCACGCAAGTGAGTGGCAAAGTCTGCGACAGTAGGGAAGGCAGCAAGGTCTGGGAACAGCATCGGAAAGAGCAAGCGGCCGGCAGAAGCGGAGGCAGGAGTGGAATAGCGAGCAATAACGGCGTCTTAATAAGCTTTGGCCGTATCAAGTGTAGCAAAACGCGAGCGCTCAGACATAGGGAGGGCGTGACTGATAGCAACCTGAGCTATTGCATCGCGTGAGTCCCAGACCGCACAGGCAAGAGCAACAGTAGAGAAGGCCTCACGGTCATCAGAGGAGGGGTCAGCAGGGAGGGGAGCAGGGGCAGGGGGGCGGGGGAGTAAGCCATCAGCATGGACGACTAAGGAGTGGCCATCCTGGCGCTGACCTGTAAGGTGTCGGCGGAGGTCGGAGAGCCAGGCGGCGAAGTCAACCGCGTGGCCCTCAGCGTCCAGACGGAGCACGAAGTCAGCCATTGTGCAGGGTCAGCGACACAGCAGCACAGCTCCACAGCTCCTCAGGAGCACAGCGGCGCGGGGACACGGCGGCAGCACTCTCCAGCATGGCGGCAGCGAGGCACCCCAGCACGGGCGAGTAGAGGAGACGGGGCCCGAGGTGGCACGGCAGGCCGAGCAGGAACGAGGAGGGGCCGGGCGGGTAGTAGGAGGGGCCGGGCTGGCGCTGGAAGTCGGGGAGGCGCGAGGGGGCCGGGCGGGCGCTAGGAGCCTGACGGGCGCAAAAGGGGCCGGACGGCACGAGGAAGGGGGGTCGGGCCGGCGCTAGAAGAGGCCGGGAGGGCGCTAGGAGGGGCTTGGCGGTCGCTAGGAGGGGCCGAGCGGTAGCTACGAGGGGCCGGGCGGGCGCTAGGAGGGGCCGGGCGGTCGCTAGGAGGGGCCAGGCGGTCACTAGGAGGGGTCGGGCGGTCACTAGGAGGGGCCGGGCGGGCGCTAGGAGGGGCCGGGCGGTCGTTAGGAGGGGCCGGACGGTCACGAGGAGGGGCCGGGCGGTCACTAGGAGGGGCCGGGGCGCGCAACAGGTCGGGCGGGCGCGGTGGGGCCAGGTAGGCGCTAGAGGGCCAGGTGAGCGCGGTGGGGCCAGGCGGGCGCGGTGGGGCCAGGCGGGCGCGGTGGGGCCAGGCGGGCTCGACGGGGCCAGGCGGGTACGACGGGGTCAGGAGGGTACGACGGGGCCAAGCGGGGGCGACTGGGCCAGGGGGGTGCGACGGGGCCAGGAGGGTGCGACAGGGCCAGGCGAGCGCGACGGGGGCCAGGAGGGCACTACGGGCCAGGAGGGCGCTACGGGCCAGGAGGGCGCGACGGGGGCCAGGAGGGCGGTACAGGGCCAGGCGGGCGCTAAGGGGCCAGGCTAGCGCGACAGGGCCAGGCGGGCACGACAGGGCCAGGCGGGCGCGATGGAGCCAGGCGGGCTCGGCAAGTCCAGGCGGGCGCGACGGGGCCAAGCGGGCGCAACGGGGCCAGGCAGGCGCGACGGGGCCAAGCAGGCGCGACGGGGGGCCTAGCGGGCGCGACGGGGGCCTAGCGAGCGCTACGGGGGCCTAGCAGGCGCGACGGGCGCTAAGGGCCGAGCGGGCTCTAAGGGGCGGGCGGGCGCTAACCTAGGGCGCGGGCGGAAGCGGGTGGGAGGACCTAACCTACTCGATACCATGTTAGAATACGTGAATATTTTACTAGAGGGGAAAACAGGGAACATATAGCAATTGGGTTGTACTAACTAAGAGCACACACCGATACTAGCCTATAACTTCTACATTCATGATACATGTATAAGTTGACACCCTTCCCCCCTCTCCCCCCCACCAATTGTCGTTTCTGTTATAGTCACAATAGGCTCAGATGTGCCTATAATGAGAGATAGAGAGCACAGTTGGATTTCTGTCAGACGGCTTCAAATATTGATAACGATCTGGTGGCTGAGTCAAACTGTGATCTGTAAGTTGGATCTAGAGCATGTTGCTGTCGTCTATCAGCAGCAAGTTGAATCATGAAATTCCATGAAGATTTGACGACGCTATGGCGGTTTGACTGGCAGGAGGTACAGTAGCCACTATAGTCTTAGGAGTACAAACTTAGCAAGAAGAGTTAGAGAGGGAGATAGTTCCCAGCCTCTACATACCCCAAGAGCCGAGGTCCAGGTTGGTGGTACACCACCAGAGAGTCCCCAACCATGAAGAGTCTCGAAACCAACCCTCCAAGGAGCTACACCAAGTGAAATGTAACACTACACGAAGTAACGTTACTATTTTCACTATTTTATATTTATCCGCGTCCCTTGGGCTTGAAATCTTGAGCTCTTGGTCTTGGATCTGCAAGATAAATTCTTCTTGAGTTGATGGGGGCTTGCTGCACACACCTGCGACACGATGGACACTTCACACTCGACAAAATAGAAAAAAAACACATGCGACACGCAAACGACGACTTGACATGCGAGTTGTAAAAACTCGCTAATGTCTTGACCGACACAAACCACATTGTGATACACCATTCAAACACACACACAAGCACTGGATAGCAATGACATAGACTCACAATTCATTCCATGCCATGCATGCACACACACAAACAAGGACGACAAGCCGAGTGCAAGCCATAGGGTTGCACCAACAAACTCCCCCTCGGATTGTTGGCCTTAGAATCTGCTCCCCTTAGTTCAGAGCCATCCCAGAAAGCTTGCAACACTTCCAATGCTGCTGCTCAACCAGCCTCTTGGTCATCATATCCGCAGGCTGTGCCGTCGTCTTCACGTAGTGCAACTCCACTTCACCCGCGGTTACCATGCTCCTCACCCAATGCCACTTCACCTTCATGTGCTTGGTAAGGCCATGAAGAACCGGATTCTTAGCCAATGCAATAGCACCCTGGCTATCACAATAGAGTGGGGTAGGTCCTTGCTGCTCCTCCCCCAATTCAGCTAGCAAACGCCGCTGCCACACAACCTCTCTTATGGCACGGAAGAGTGCCATGTACTCGGACTCCACCGAGCTCAATGCTTGGTCCACTTGTTTCTTGCTCTCCCAAGCTGTTGGACCTCCACCAACACAGCAAATGAAGCCTCCCACACTTGTCATGTCCTCTGGTTCTGATGCCCAAGATGCATCAGAGAAGGCGGTGAGAAAGAGCCTCCCGGGTTCGACTCCATCCGCACCCTTTTGACGCCTTTGTGCCGCCGCGGAGTATTGCAGTCCAACAGTTGCTGTTTGGCCAAGGTACTTGGCCACCCTCTCTCCAGCTGCTACCTGCTCTTCATTAGGGCATTGGACAACCCTAGCCAGCTGCCCGGTGGCAAAGGCTGCATCCGGCCTTGTGTGAACGGCCGCATACATGAGGCTGCCCACCAAGGAGTGAAAACGCCGCCTCTCCTCTTCACCAACACTTTCCTCCGCTGGTCCTTTCACACACTTGAACCCTGAGGGAAGAGGAGTAGCCACATGTCCTTCACTCTTTCCAAAGGTTGCAGCCAAGGCCTCCAAGTACTTCTTTTGATGCACTCGCATCCACCGCTTCTCCACATCTCGCTCAATGTGAAGCCCAAGGTAGTAGTTGACGTCACCAAGGGTCTTGCACTTGAACTTGTCTTGAAGCTTCAGCATCACCTCCTTCACAAGGTCAGAGGAGGGTGAGAATATGAGGATGTCATCCACATAAACCACCATGAAGCTCCTCTGCTCCCCCTCGCCAAGCATGAACAAGGATTGATCGGCCGTTGAGGGAGTGAAGCCGATCGCCTCCAAGACTTCCCGCAGCTTGATGTACCATTGCCTAGGGGCTTGCTTGAGGCCATAGAGTGCTTTCTTCAGCTTCCACACTCTGCCACTCCCATCATTGTACCCCTCTGGCTGCTCCATGTAGGTCTCTTCCTCCAAAACGCCGTTGAGGAAGGCCGTTACTATATCCATTTGCTTCACCACCCATCCTTTGATGGCCGCCGCGGCGAAGAGGGTTCGAAGGGTTGTACCCTTCACCACAGGGGCATACACTTCATTGTAGTCCTTCTTCTCTTGCTGCTGATACCCCTTGGCTACAAGTCTGCTCTTGTAGCGCTCGATGTTGCCGTCGGCGTCGGTCTTGCGCTTGAAGAGCCACTTGGAAGAGATCGCCTTCCGCCCCGGAGGTAGGTTCACCAAGTCAAATGTGTCGTTCTCTATGATGCTCCCCATTTCTTCATCTGAGGCCTTCTTCCACTCCTTCCCATTGGGGCCCTCCCAAGCCTCCTTGGGATTTGTAGGCTCCCCCGGCATCTCCACCGGAGAGAAGAAGGCAAAGGCGCACTCCTCGCTTTCATCTTCCGCATCATCGCCTAGCATGAGAGCCGAACCGGTCAAGGTTGAGTTGGCTGGTCCTCCAAGCCGTTCATAGCTCAACCTATTGGGGGGCTGAGTCCTCCTTCTCCCCCTTCCTTCCTCTTCTGCTGCAGGGACTTGAATGCTCTCATGGCTTTGCGGTAAATCCGATCGGTTCCCGCGAGCACTTGTAGCACGAGGCGGAAGTGGCGGTGCACGCTCATTACCTTGCTGCACCTCCTCCTCCTCCTCATCCCCATTCATTTGGGGAGATTGCCTCGTGATTGTGCTGCTGCTACTCAGCTCCAAGGGCAGCTCCACATGCTCCAAGCCGGTACTCTTCACCTCTCCAAGCCGCACACCAATCTTCGCTTGGTTCTCCGCCTTCCACTCCTTGTACGGTAAGTTCTCCATGAACTTGCAATCTCTGCTCACCAGGAACTTCTTGGTAAATGGGTCCCATAGAAGCCATCCCTTGCTGTTTTGGGCCATGCCCAGGTGCACGGCCCATGTTGCCTTGGCATCAAGCTTGTTGTGCCGAAGTTTCTTAGGCACAAGTGCCATGCACATGCACCCGAACACCCGAAGCATATCCACCTTCGGCTTCCTTCCAATCCACTCCACATAGGGCACCCATTTGTCTTCTCCCACATGAGTCAAGGCTCTGTTCTTGGCCACACAAGCATGCCGCACCGCATCCGGCCAAAAGTAATTGGGTAGACCGGCTTCAATGAGAAGTCCCCGAGCCGTCTCCGTGAGTGTCCGATTCGCACGCTCGGCGATGCCGTTCATTGCAGGAGAGTAGGGCATGGTAAGAGAGTGCCTTATGCCCTGATTCTTCAGCCAAGTTCAGAAATCCTTGCTCAGGAACTCTCCCCCACGGTCAGTGCGAATCGCCTTCACAAGTCGGTCTTGTTGCCGCTCCACCATCGGCAACCAATCGGTCTTCACCGTTTCAGCTACGTCACTCTTCTTGGGCAGTACATACACCCAAGTCATGCGAGTGTAGACGTCCACAATGGTGAGGAAGTACTCTGCTCCAGCAGCTCCAAGCTTCAAGGGGCCCACCACATCCATCACCACCTCATCAAGTGGTGCCTTCGCCGTTGTCTCCGAGCTATGGAACGGGTAGCGGGTGAACTTGGCTTGCATGCATGTTGGACAGCCAAGCACCTCATTGGGCTCCCCCTTGACACGTATCCCACTGACCATCTCTTGCTTAACTATCTGCTGCAAAATGGGCAATGCCACATGCCCCATTCGCCGATGCAAGGTCAGCCAATCACACTCTCCCGTAGCGGAAGTCGGGTTTGAGAAAGCGGCACTCGCAATTGTGCCCCACAAGCTCTCTCCTTTCTCCTTCGCCGCTGCTGCTTTGTTGATCTTAGCCTTTTCCTCCTCATTTCCACCACCTTTGGCTGCTGCACCATTCTCCTTGGGTTCACACGCCTTGCTGGTCTCTCCAAGGTTGCACTCCTTCGAGTCACTCTTGGTGCCACTTTGCTTTCCGTGATCACCTCCACCAACCGCTTCACGCTTGGTGCTGACGCTTGCTGCCACTTGCCTCTCTTTAGGCATGGGGACCACTGGGATTTGCCACATCTCATTGTAGATGTCCCTGTCCTCATGAAGGTCCCAAAGCTTCCGCTCACCAAGCCTTGCGGTATAGGTTTTGGATCCCTTGGAAGATGTGTCCATGCTGGCCTTTTGCAAACGCCGAACGGAAATCAGGTTGGCTGCTAGGTTGGGCACCAAAAGCACGTTCTTGAGGCCCACCATCTTCCCATCAGCACCCTTGAACATGGCCTTGCCCATGCCCTTCACCTCTGCTCGCTGCCCCAAAGCCGATGTAACATGCTTGACCGGCGACGGTTCGAGTTCGGTGAGCAAGTCCGCACGAGGTGTCATGCTGTAGGTGGCGCCACTATCGATCACCCAAAAGTCCAGAGAGTGAAGGGTGACCTTTCCCACAGTAGCTGGCTCCTCAAAGCCTTCCACACCTCCTGCTGCAGCTGCCGCTTGCGTGGAGACAAAGAAGAATTGGCCCGGGTATCGATCTTCACTCGAGTCCTTGTCGTAGTCTCCACCTTTCATGCTTGCCGCTTCGCTTCCACGACCACCACGGCCTCCACGACCTCTGCCTCTTCCTCCCCTTGCTCCTCTGCCCTCTTGGCCTTGAGAAGGGGTCCATCCATCAGGCAATCTGAAGCAATCTCTCCACATGTGGCCGGTCTTGTGGCAAAAGTGGCATTCGCCATCAAATCGACCGCGCCCACGCCCGTAGCCATTGTTGTTGTTGTTGCTGCCATATCCTCCATTACCACGGCCTCTATTGAAGTTACTGCTGCCAAATCTTCCTCCTTGCCCTCTGCCCCTTCCACGGCCGTGCCCACGGCCCATGCTTGCAACTCCGGCACCATCGGGACCCGCCAATTCGCGACGGCGGAAATCTTCTTGTAAGATTTCGCGCTTCACATCTTCGAGTGAGAGACGGGGCAGATCTCGATTAAGGTTGATGATGAGCGAGGACCATGAGTCCGAAAGTAAGGCCAGCAACTTGGTCTTCTTTTGAAGGTCACTGTAGTTCAGGTCAGCTCCTTCGAGCCGTGTCAACAAGTCGAAGAATTTCTGCACTCCTTCCTCCACCGGTTCGCCTTCGTCAATTCGAAGTGCCGCCATTTGCCGCTCCAAAACCACAGCCACCGCCGCTGTTGCAGGAGCGTGTACACCCTTGAGAGCAGCCCATGCCTTTGGTCCCTTTGCTGGTTCACGCTGAAAAGGCTTGATGTGACGGATTTGGCTGCTCCCCAACGCTTGCCCAAGTAGAAGGTAGCCTTGTGCGCTCTTCCGCACCCACGGGCTCTTCTCCGGGTCGTTCTCGGGGCGCTTCTCCGTTCCTTCCATCACCTCCAGCAGATCATAGTGGTCAAAGATGTTCTCCATCTTGAAGGACCACTCAGCAAAGTTGTCACCGTTGAACTTGTCAAGGCCAAACACTCTAGGCTCATCCCTAGAGGGTCCAAGGCTAGGTTGCACCGGAGCAACGGGTGGATCTTGGTGTTGACCTTGTGCTTGGGCGTCCTCTCTACCTCCAGCACCTCTGCCACCCCCTTCCTCAGGTCCAGGCATGGTCGAGACGGCTCCAAGGGGCTCTGATACCTCTGTTATAGTCACAATAGGCTCAGATGTGCCTATAATGAGAGATAGAGAGCACAGTCGGATTTCCGTCAGACGGCTTCAAATATTGATAACGATCTGGTGGCTGAGTCAAACTGTGATCTGTAAGTTGGATCTGGAGCGTATTGCTGTCGTCTATCAGCAGCAAGTTGAATCATGAAATTCCATGAAGATTTGACGACGCTATGGCGGTTTGACTGGCAGGAGGTATAGCAGCCACTATAGTCTTAGGAGTACAAACTTAGCAAGAAGAGTTCGAGAGGGAGATGGTTCCCAGCCTCTACATACCCCAAGAGCCGAGGTCCAGGTTGGTGGTACACCACCAGAGAGTCCCCAACCATGAAGAGTCTCGAAACCAACCCTCCAAGGGGCTACACCAAGTGAAATGTAACACTACCCGAAGTAACGTTACTATTTTCACTATTTAATATTTATCCGCGTCCCTTGGGCTTGAAATCTTGAGCTCTTGTTCTTGGATCTGCAAGATAAATTCTTCTTGAGTTGATGGGGGCTTGCTGCACACACCTGCGACACGATGGACACTTCACACTCGACAAAATAGAAAAAAAAAACGCATGCGACACGCAAACGACGACTTGACATGCGAGTTGTAAAAACTCGCTAATGTCTTGACCGACACAAACCACATTGTGATACACCATTCAAACACACACACAAGCACTGGATAGCAATGACATAGACTCACAATTCATTCCATGCCATGCATGCACACACACAAACAAGGACGACAAGCCGAGTGCAAGCCATAGGGTTGCACCAACAGTTTCCTGTCCATCCCCCAATCTCACCACCACACACACGCGAATTCGCTACGAATTCCCAGGACCCCCAAAAACCAAGACTTGAACACACAAAATTCATGAACCATAACATGTATAGAAATATTGGAAAAATCAGTTTTTTTTTTTTGTAATTCTAATGGCTCAAGATTTTTTTTAAGGGGACCCTGAAAATTCAGACTTTTCTTAAGGGAGAATCTTGATGGATCAAGAAGCCTCAAAACCAATCTAGGGCCCTGCTTCCAACACACCCACGTAGAGGTCCTTAGCATGCACACCTGGCATGATGCATGACGCGCTGAGCGGCAAAGTCCCTGTTGAGGCAGCATCACAGTCACAGAAGGGGCAGGAATCCTGCCAAGTCCAGATACTGCATGTGAGACGTGCGGGGGTGAAATGATGGAAGGCAGCATATGACGTAGTAGAGGAAATCTCGTGGAAAGTACAAGGTGTTATGAAGTGATGTAGCAAGAAAGGAGAAGGCCGCCATGAAATGGCGGCCGAGGTTTAGCTAGGAAGATTGACGAGTGAGAAGAGAGTTAGACTAGAAGAGAATGAAGTACAAGAAGGGGAGTTATCCCCTCTACAGTAGGAAGCAGTTTGTAGCACAACTATCAAGCCTACAATTATATAAAATATAATTTGAACACAAGGTCCATGGATGTCGCATTCAGAGTCCATACGCGATGTACTCTGAAACCTCAGCATCCGCACAACGACTACTCTGAAAACTTCAGGATCCAAAATCATACAACCCTGTCTCAGAAACTTAGGAGTATAGGTTCCTAAAGTTAGGACACTAGCTTAGCTAGGAATAACGCCATGGGATGGTGGGAGGAAAGTAGATCTAGGAACGTGAGTAGTGAGAAGAAATGTCGAGAAGAAAAGTTAGAATTGAAAAGAAGACAGAGGCATACAAGAAGGGGTGTTGTACCCTCTACAACAGTATTCAGTAATAGTATACCAAGCCTATAAATTATAACTTAAATAATTTTAATACACCCCCTAGGCTTGGTAGTGTCAAGCCCACACACACCCACACCACACACACACACCCCCTAACCTAGCACCCCACTACTCTGCAGCAGCAGCGGCTGTTGACAACCCGGTAGACCCCTCCACGGGCGGGGCGGCGACAACAGCTACGAGGGTCCGGTGGCGACGACGGCGGCGGCGGCAGTGACGACAGCAGCGGCGGCAGCGGCGGCGTGCGGCGGCAAGTAGGCCAGCGGCAACAGCGGCGGCAGCGGGGGCTTCGACAAAAGCAGCGGCGGCGGCGGCGCTCGCCCCACTCGGCGGCGTGGCCAGGTTCCGCAACGGTGGGACGGCCGGTGCAAGGCAGCCATCGGCTGCGGCGAGTAAGAGGGGATGCAGGGGACGGGGGCAGGGCTGCAGCAGCACAGGTGTGGCGCGACAAAGTGCGTGTGTGCTGGCCAGCGCTAAGGCCGAGCGCTGGCCGCATGTCGCCACAGCAGCACGACGAGACGGTCGCGGCGGTACGACACGACCGGGACGACGTCAGCGCGGCGCCACGTTTGCGTGTCGAGACGGCTGCGGCAGGACGGCGCAGCCGGCGACAAGACGACGCCGCCACAGCGTGACGCCGCTGCGGCCGCCATGGCAGCGTGAGGAAAAGGAGAGGAAAGCACGGCGGAATCGTGAGGAGCAGGCCCGCTAGGAGCAGACCGCTCTGATACCATATCAGAAACTTATGAGTATAGGTTCCTAAAGTTAGGACACTAGCTTAGCTAGGAATGACGCCATCAGGCCCCAAAATATCAGGGTGAAATGCCCTGATTACCCTGATTTTAAGGGTCATTTTTTGAACTAGTCTGATTTTTCAGGGTTTGAAATTTTTTTACCCTGATGTAGAAAGTGTTCCTTTTTTTCACCCTGGCTAAATCCGGGTGTGCGTCCGGCCAACCCTGATACGTCAGGGTGGCCCATAAATTTCCCTTAATGCAAAACAGTCAAGTGCTTTACGCGTGGCGTTTTTCCTTGCGCACCATCAGCAAATGCCATCCACATTCCTGCCACCTGCGGCAGTATGCCACCCTGACCCACCCGCGCTGTCGAATATTCCCCTCCAGCTGTCCCTGCGTCAGCTTCTGTTAGGCTCGCTATTGGTCGTTGGCAGCGATATTGCCTTGGTCCCAGCCGGCGAGAGTTCATTGCATGTGACGCATGAACCGCCCCCTTAGTGCTAGCCTTTCAGTTCCATGTAGAGATAACTGTACATGTTAACTGCAATATTAAAGTGCACACTTAAGTGTGCTGCAATCAATGTGCGTGAAAAAATACCCTGAACAGACAGGGTGCGAAAAAAATTAGGCTGCAGAATCAGACTCAAAAAAGAAGTCACCCTTTACGTCAGGGTGTTTTGCCAGGCAGACCCTGATTCCAAAGTGTGCTCTAAAACCAATTTTGGGCCCTGGACGCCATGGGATGGTGGGAGGAAAGTAGATCTAGGAACGTGAGTAGTGAGGAGAAATGTCGAGAAGAAAAGTTAGAATTGAAAAGAAGACAGAGGCATACAAGAAGGGGTGTTGTACCCTCTACAGCAGTATTCAGTAATAGTATACCAAGCCTATAAATTATAACTTAAATAATTTTAATACCCTGAAGGGTTCAGTATCCAAAAAAGCCTAAGTCTGAAAAATCAGGATTGGCAAAAAAATGGGTCTGAAATTTTAGACAATCAGGCTAAAATAGTCTGATAAAATCAGCCCTGTTGAGAACGCCATGGGTGGTAGAAACGAGCGCCGTTCCGCGGCTTTGAGCCATAACATTACAAAGCTCAGAATCAGGGAAATTACGAAACCGATAGAAGCAATCATGAAATCGACCGATGGAGACACAACAAATAACGTAGGCCGGAATTCACCCCAGCCCTGTGTTAAATTATATATGTTAGTATATAATTGTAGGCTTGGCAGACGTTACTGAACATTACTGTAGAGGGTACAACACCCCTCCTTGTATCCCTCTCTTCTTTCTAACGCCCTCTTTTCTCTCGTCAATCTCTCTCCTAACTCCTAAAACCTCACGCCACTTTCATGCCGTCCTAGTTCCTAATTGTGACACGACCTCAGAGGAGTGTGCAGTGCAGTCGTCATAGCATATCATAGCTCCATAATACAGCACACTAGATAGGGCAAATACATGGCAAGGGAACAAGGCTGAGCGGCCATGCTAGTTATCAAAGCAAGGGAGGGAAGGGTGGGCAAGTTGGAACAGAAAAATGCAAATGAGACTAGGTGGCAGGTCTGAAAGACCTGCCGATAGATGAAGGAGTTTGTCTCCTTTACAGCAAACTCCTCTTCTAGTCGAATCACAATCTGTAAATTTTTCATTACAAAAAATTTCTCATATTGTGACACGACCTCAGAGGAGTGTGCAGTGCAGTCGTCATAGGTCGAACGAGACTTCAAGTGTGAGGGCGTCGACGGTGGCGCTCAAGGGTGGCCTGGTACCGATCGGTCGCGCTCGAGCGAGTAGGATCTTGTAGCATGCGAGAAGCGGCCACT